ATAGATGGGTCTTGTTTTTTTATCCATTCAGTGACTCTATGTCTTTTGATTGGTGCATTCAGTTCATTTACATTTAGGGTGATTATTGATAGGTGTGTACTTATTGCCATTGCAGGCTTTAGATTCGTGGTTACCAAAGCTTCAAGGTTTACTTCCTTACTATCTAAGTGTCTAATTTAACTCACCTAATATGCTATTACAAACACAATCTCAATGTTCTTTTTTTCTCCTCCTTTTTCTTCCTCCTCCATTCTTTATGTATTAAGTATCATATTCTGTACTCTTTGTCTATCCCTTGATTGACTTTGGGAATAGTTTATTTAATTTTGCATTTGCTTAGTAATTAGCTGTTCTACTTTCTTTATTGTGGTTTTATTACCTCTGGTGACAGTTGTTTAGCCTTTTGAGTACTTCCATCTATAGGAGTCCCTCCAAAATGCACTGTGGAGGTGGTTTGTTGCAGGTAAATTCTCTCAGCTTTTGTGTATCTGAAATTGTTGAATCTGTTTTTCAAATGTAAATGGTAATCTTGCTGGGTACGGTATTTTTGGTTCAAGGTCTTTCTGCTTCATTACATTAAATATATCATGCCACTCCATTCTGGCCTGTAATGTTTCTGTTGAGAAGTCTGATGATAGCCTGATGGGTTTCCTTTTGTATGTGATCTTTTTTCTCTCTGGCTACTTTAGTACTCTGTCCTTATCCTTGATCTTTCCCATTTTAATTATTATATGTCTTAGTGTTGTCTTCCTTGGGTCCTCTGTGTTGGGAGATCTGTGCTCCTCCATGACCTGAGAAACTATCTCCTTTTCCAGGTTGGGGAAATTTTCAGCAATTACTTCCTCAAAGACTCTCTTTCCCTTTTCCTCTCTCTTCTTCTGGTACCCCTGTAATGCAAATGTTGTTGCATTTGGATTGGTCACACTGTTCTCTCAATATTCTTCATTCTTAGACATCCTTTTATCTCTCTGTGCCGCAGCTTCTTAGTGTTCCTCGTCTCTAATTTCTATTCCATGTACTGTCTCTTCTACCAAGTCTAATCTGCTTTTAATCCCTCCATTTTATGTTTCATTTCAGATATGGTACTTCTTAATGATTGAATCTCCATCCTAAATTCGCCCCTGAGTTCTTGAATATTTTTTCTGTTCCTCCATGAGCATGTTTATGATTTTAATTTTGAATTCTCTTTCAGGAAGATTGGTGAGTTCAGTTTCATTTGGCCCTTTTACTGGTGTTTCTGAGAATTTTGTTTAAACCAGGTTCTGTTGACATTTCATTTATATATGCCATCTTCTAGTGTCCAGTAACTCTAGTGTCTGGAGCTGCTCAGCCCCCGGAGCGATTTCATGGGTTGCAGCGGAGTGGCACTGGTGCCTGGAGGGAGGAAAGAGCTGATTCTTGCTTCCCGTCTTTAGTGCCTGTGTCCACTTTCATAACCAGTGGGTGGAGCACACAGCTGTAAGCCTATGCACTGTGCGTCTGTAGCTGTAGTAGGCAGGGCCTCCCTCGGGCTGGCTTGACACCAGGGCTGGGACTGCAGGTTTGCGAGCCAGTGCCAGCAGGCCAGGAGGAAGGTGCAGCAGGCCTGGTGGTGGGCCTCGGAGCTGAGTAGGCAGCCAGGGAGTTGGAGGGCCTGAAGCCCCTGAAAGTTCTCAACCTCCTGGGCAGAGCATGCCCAGTCAACCATGTCTAACTATCCCTTTTCCCATGTAGCAAGCTCCATGCAAACACTGCCGCTTCAGCAGGCGTCTCGCTGCTAGGAAGCCTCTCATTCCACTGCCTTTCCTTTGTCCCAAAACAGTTGGATGTGGATCCCCGTCCTCCACAAATGGCTGGAATCTCAGTCTCTCCAAGTATTCCGCCTGTCTTAGCTTTCCAACCCCACTAATCTCCAGACCACCATGAAATGTAGGTTTCTACTCCCAGAGCAGATCTCCAGGGCTGGATGTTCAGCAGTCCTAGGCTTCTGCTGCCTCCCCACTCCGTTACTCTTCCTCCTGCCAGTGAGCTGGGTTGGGGAAAGGTCTTGGGTACACCAGATCAAGGCTTTGGTATGTTACCCTGTTTCGTGAGTTCTGCTCTGTTCTCCAGGTGTATGCAGTCTGGTGCAGCCTTCTTTCCTGTTGCTCTTTTAGGGTTAGTTGTAGTAACTATGTTTTCGTATTATATGTGGTTTTGGGAGGAGTTCTCTCTCTTACATCTCATGCCACTATCTTGAATCCTAATGATACACAATCATATGAAAGTTTCACGAGCAACTTTGTGATTTCAGAATTCACCCATATTATCAAGTACCCCCCATCCTATTGCAGTCATTGTCCATCAGCATAGTAGGATGCTATAGAGTCACTACTTGTCTTCTCCATGCTATACTGTGTTCCCCATGGCCTACCTATATTGTGATTACAAATTATAATGCCTCTTAATCCCCTTCTCCCTCCCAATTTCTCCCCTTAGGTAATGGCTAGTCCCATCTTTGAGTCTGAGTCTGCTGCTGTTTTGTCCCTTCAGTTTTGCTTTGTTGTTATACTCCACAAATGAGTGAAATCATTTAGTACTTGACTTTCTCCACCTTGCTTATTTCACTGAACTTAATATTCTTTAGCTCCATCCATGATGACGCTGCAAATTGTAGGATTTGTTTCTTTCTTATGGCTGAATAGTGTTGCATTGTGTATATGTACCACCTCTTTCTTATTCATTCATCTACTGATGGACACTTAGGCTGCTTCCATTTCTTAGCTGTTGTAAGTAGTGCTGCGAAAAACATTGGTGCATATGTTTTTTTGAATCAGGAATCTTGTTTTCTTTGGGTAAATTCCCATGAGTGGAATTCCTGAGTCAAAAAGTATTTCTGTTTTTCGTTTTTTAAGGAAACTCCATATTCCTTTCCACAGTGGTTGAACTAATTTACATTCCCATAAACAGTATAGGAGGGTTCCTCTTTCTCCGCGTCCTCACCAGTACTTGTTGTTTCTTGTCTGTTGGATGTTGGCCAGCCTAACTGGTGTGAGGTGATACCTCACTGTGGTTTTAATTTGCATTTCCCTGATGATTAGTGTTGTGGAGCATCTTTTCATGTACCTGTTGGCCATTTGAATTTCTTCTTTTGAGAAGTATCTGTTCATATCCTCCACCCATTTTTTAATTGGGTTATTTATTTTTTGGGTGTTGAGGCATGTGATTCCTGTATACATTTTGGATATTAACAACCTGTCGGGTAAGTAATGTATGAATATATTCTCCCATACTATAGGATGCCTTTTTGTTCTGCTGATGGTGTCCTTTGCTGTAGCAATGCTTTTTAGTTTGATATAATCCCACTTGTTCATTTTTTATTTTGTTTCCCTTGCCCAAGGAGGTGTGTTCAGGAAAATGTTGCTCATGTTTATATTCAAGAGATTTTTGCCTATGTTTTCCTCCAGTTTTATGGTTTCATGACCTACTTTCATTTCTTTGATCCATTTTGAGTTTACTTTTGTGTGTGGAGTTAGACAATAATGCAGTTTCATTCTTTTCCATGTTGCTATCCTATTTTGCCAAAACCAGTTGTTGAAGAGGTTGTCATTTCGCCATTGTATATCTGTGGGTCCTTTATCATATATTAATTGGCTATATATGTGTGGGTTTATATCTGGGCTCCCTATTTTGTTCCATTGATCTATGAGTCAGGTCCATTCTTGTGCCAGTACCAAATTGTTTTGATTACTGTGGGTTTGTAGTAAAGCTTGAAGTTATGGAGTGTAATCTCCCCAGTTTTGTTCTCAGGATTGCTTTGACTATTTGGGGTCTTTTGTGATTCCATATGAATTTTAGAACTATTTGTTCTAGTTCATTGAAGAATGCTGTTTGCATTTTGATAGGCATTGCATTGAATCTGTAGATTGCTTTAGGCAGGATGGCCAATTTTATATTAGTTCTTCCTTCCTATCCATGAGCATGGGATGTATTTCCATTCATTGGTGTCTTCTTTAATTTCTCTCTTGAAGAAAGTGTAGGTTTTTTACCTCCTTCAGTAGGTTTATTCCTAGGTATTTTATTCTTTTTGATGCAGTTGTAAATGGAATTTTTCTTTCTGCTAGTTCATCATTAGTGACAGGAATGCAATAGATTTCTGTGTATTAATTTTGTATCCTGCAACTTTACTGAATTCAGTTATTCTAGTAGTTTTTGGGTGGATTCTTTAGGCTTTTATTATGTACAGTATCATGTCATCTGCAAACAGTGACAGTTTGACTTCTTCCTTACCAATCTGGATGCCTTTTGTTTCTTTGTATCATCCAATTGCCATGGCTAGGACCTCCAGTAGTATGTTGAGTAAAAGTTGGGAGGGTTGGCATCCTTGTCTTGTTCCCAATCTTAGAGGAAAAGCTTTCAGCTTTTCGCTGTTCAGTATGATGTTGGCTGTGGGTTTGTCATATATGGCCTTTATTATGTTGAGATACATGTCTTCTATTATACCCAGTTTGTTGAGTTTTTTTAAATCATGAATGGATGTTGAATTTTGTCAAGTATTTTTCAGCATGGAAAGATACCCATTCAACTCTTTTAATTACTTGGACAAATTACAAAATTATGGTATTATAAATTATAAAGTATTGCAAAGATATTTTTAAGCTACATTATTGCTTCTAAAACCCAAGATACTTAGAGTAATTAATTTTATTATTGCTGTTTAAAATAACTGTCTGCATATTTCATCATCTTTTTAAATTACAGTAAAGCTTTTCAATTTTGTGTGTAATAAATAGGATATAAATCTAGCCATATACATTACTTATCTTGAATCTGTGTGCTATGTTCAAACACTGAGGACAAAAAGGTCTCTGTATACTAATTATATTGATAATAAAATGCCAACATTGCCAATTTTTGTTGTTCCTTTTTAAAATTGTGTGTTAGATTTATTGACCAAGTTGTCTTTAAACTTTTATTTTCTTAAAATTTCAAATGAACTATGTTTGTTTGCCTCATATAGTATTATCTCTATCTTCAACTAGGAGGAAGAAAATTACAGAGAAGAGGGAGATCCTAGAACAAGAGCATCGGATCCACAGTCTCCACCCCAAGTATCTCGTCATAAGTCACACTACCGTAATCGAGAACACTTTGCTACTATACGGACGGCATCACTGGTATGTACCTCCCCTGAATCAGAAATATATTTTTTTATGTTGGACTTAGACATTTCTAATCAAGTATAACTATATCTTATTTTTTTGTATTTCATATTTACTTTGCTAAATAGTGAACATTTAAGTGCTTATGAGAAATCCTACAAAATACTCTGAGAGACATTAAACTAATTATGTCTTCAAAACAAATAACTCGTGTGGTAGAATATATTAAATGCCTAAGAGGGCTACAAGGTACTAAATATGAATTCAGATTACTTTTCATTTGGGCCATAAAGAAAGTATTTATAAAACAAATGGTTTTAGCCTTTAATAAGCAGTTGTTTTTGCGCACAAGAGAGTGAAAAAATACAAAAGAATTGACAATAAGGAAATTCTGAATCTAACCAAAATGAGGGTGAATATCTGGGATATGGCAGGTAATCCAATTTGATATATTTAAAATACAGTTCTAATTTCCCAAATAACAATAAAAAGGATGTCCATTATAAGGATGTTGTTATAGTGGGGTACTTTACAATCCTGATCAATCAGATAAGTAGGAGCAAAATATGATAAAGGATACTAGGAATAGAAGGAAATAATGTTATGATACCATATAAAAAGAAGGCTATTAGAAAATATGGCAGAGAAAAAATACAGGCATTATCTGATTTACCAACCTTATAAGCAGATTTTATAAATCCCCTTCTATGGCCCATGACTCTGTATGGCTTGGGGTCAAGAATGCCATTCCCCACTTAAGTCAGGTCATTCCTACTATTCTGCTACATGTTAAATAACTCTGAGTAGAGCAAGTGGCAAAAATTGCCTAATTATTTCATGACTATTTTAAGAAATACCTAGAAAGGGACCAGCTCATGGAAAAACACCAGTGTGACTTGGCATGTATTAAACAAGCAAGTCTTTGGTCCTAAATTTCAGCTCCATCAGATTAATTAAGGACACTCTTAAATTAGGAATTTAGAAAATTTAAGATCCATATTCTTAAGCCCAGTAATCACATTTATTTCAAATAAAACATTCAGAGAATATATAGATTAATGTACAAAGATAAGCATAGGTATATTATTTGATATAAATACTATATGCCATAACTCAGTCTAACTCAGTGATTATAAATGCAGTCACACAGACTGTATTGTTTTGTGCTGGACTTACTTTGCTCAGCTTAATGTTTTTGTTATTCATCCATGTGTTCTGCTTATCAAATTCATTCTTTTTTATTACTGTGAATAGTTTTCCATTATCTGTGAATAACCACAATTTTTTTATCCATTCTTCTGTTGAACATTTTGTTTGATTCTTATTTTGAACTGTTATACATAAGGTTGCTATAAACATTGTACATGTGTTATGTGAATGTGATGTTTTAATTTCTGTGACAAATACATAGGGTAAAATTGCTGAGTCATAGGGCATATGTATGTTGGACTTCATAAGAAACTGTCAAACAGCTTTTCAAAATGGTTGTACTGTTTCACATCCCCATTAACAATGTATAAGAGTTGCAGTTGGTTGACATCTTCTCCAGCATTTGGTTTGTCAGTCTTTTTTATTTTAGCCGTTCTGGTGGGAATGAAATGGAACCTCACGATGGTTGTTTTTGCAATTCCCTATGACTGAACATGGCACCAGAATCACCTTTTCCTGTGTTTATTGTCCATTCATGTATCTCTTTAGTGAAGTGTCTTTTTAAGTCTTTTGTCTGTTTTCTTATTCAGGTGTTCATCTTTTTAATACTAATTAGTAGGAGTTTTTATATAGTGTAGATATAAGTATTATATCTCAGAAATGTCTTGAAAATATTTTTTCTCCAATTGTGATAAATTAAAACTTTATAGTTTTAAAATCCAATTTAAACAACCCATTAAATATGAGTAAAGGCCGTAAAAAAAAGCTTAAAGCTTTTCCTCTAAAATCAGGAATAAGACAAAGATGCCTACTCACAACACTTTTATTCAACAGAGTATTGGATGTCCTAGCTACATTAATCAGGCAAGAAAAAGAAATAAAAGGCAAGGAAGAAGTGAAACTGTCATTGTTTAGAGGTGACCTGATTCTATATACAGAAAGCCCTAAAGACTCCACCAAAAAACTATTAGAATTAATATATCAACTATACCTCAATTTTAAAAGATGTGTTGAAGACTTGAGTAGACATTTATCCAAAGAACATATACAAATGGCCAACAAGCACATGAAAAAATGCTCAATATAAAATAAAGTCTTTAGGGAAACACAAATCAAAACCACAGTGAGGTACCACCTTACAGCCACTAGGATGGCTAGCACCTTTTTTTTTGTTGTTAAGGTATCATTGATATACAATCTTATGAAGGTTTCACATGAGCAACATTGGTTACCACATTCACCCATATTATTGAGTCCCCCCCTAACACCCCATTGCAGTCACTGTCCATCAGCATAGTAAGATGCTATAGAGTCACTGCTTGTCTTCTCTGTGCTATTACTGCCTTCCCCATCTCCTCCCTTTACACTATGTGTGCCAATTGTAATACCCCTTAATCCTCTTCTCCCTCCCTCCCCACCCACCCTTCCTACCCCCTACCCTTCCTAACCGCTAGTCCCTTCTTGGACTCTGTGAGTCTGCTGCTGTTTCGTTAGGATGGCTAGCTATTAAAAGAGAAAAACAAAAACAAAGATGGAAAATGACAATTAGGGAGCATGTGGAGAAACTGGAACTCCTGCTGTATATTGCTGGTAGCAACGTAAAATGTCAGCTGCTGTGGAAAACAGTTGATGATTTCTCAAAAAGTTAAACATAGCATTTCCCCATGACCCAGCAATTCTACTCCTTGATATACACCCAAAACAATTGAAAGCAGGTACTTAAACAAATGCATATACACAAATGTTCATAACAGCAGTATTCACAATAGCCAAAAGGTGGAAACAACACAAAGGTCCAGCAACAAATAAATGGATAAACAAATTAGGGTATGTGCATATAGTGGAATATTAATCACCTATAAAAGGTAATGTATTCACTCATATGTGGAGTATAAGAACAAAGAAAAACTGAAGGAACAAAACAGCAGCAGAATCACAGAACCCAAGAATGGACTGACAGTTACCAAAGGGAAAGGGACTGGGGAGGATGGGTGGGAAGGGAGGGATAAGGGAGGGGGAAAGGGGGCATTATGATTAGCATATATCATGTGGGGGAGGCATGAGGAGGGTTGTGTAACAGAGAAAACAAGTAGTGATTCTACAGCATCTTACTACACTGATGGACAGTGACTGTGAAGGGGTATGTTGGGGGGACTTGGTGAAGGGGGAAGCCTAGTAAACATAATGTTCTTCATGTAATTGTAGATTAATGATACCAAAAAAAGGGGGGGTTATGTAGTACTGATACATGCTATACAATATGGATGAACCTTGGAAACATGCTAGGTGAAAGAAGCCAGATACAATAGGTCACATAGCATATGAAACATCTAAAATAGATAAATCCATAGACAGAAAATAGATTGGTCATGACCAGAAGGGGAGATTGGGGAGCAATTCCTTAAAACATACAGGGTTTTCTGTTTTCTTCTGAGGTATTAAATGTGTTTTGTAACTAGATACGGCAGTCATTGCAGAACATCATGAATATACTAAATGCTACTGAATTCCTCTCGTTAAATGATTAATCATACATTGTGTGAATTTTGTCTCTATTTTAAGAATCCAGTTTGTACATTTTTTCTTTATAGTAGGGGCAGTGGTTGCAGAACATCATGAATATACAAAATGCTACTCAATTGTTCACTTTACATGGTTAATCTTACATTATGAATTTTGCCTCTGTTTGAGAATGCAGTTTGTACATTTTTTTCATTATAGTCTGTTTTTTTGTGTCCTACCCAAGAAATATTCGCTGACCTCAAGGTCATGACAATATTCTGTGTTTTCTTCTGATGTATGATTCTGGATTTTAGGTTTAGATCAGGTGACTCTTTACAAATTAATTTCTGTATATAGCATGATTAAGCATTTATTTATCTTGAATACAGAGAACAAGTTGTTACAGCATGAGTTGTTAAAAATACCTTCCTTTCCTCTTTGAATTAACTTGACTTTTTCGTAGCAAAAGAGTCAATTGACTGAATATATGTGGGTGCGTATCTAGATTTTACTGTGTTCCTTTGCTCTATTCAGTTTGTCCTTATACCAATACCACACTGTTGTGATTACTGAAGTTTACATCTTCCAACTTTTTATCCCCTCTCAAAATGTTGGCTATTCTAGGTCCTTTACGTTCCCATTTAAATTTTAGAACCAGCTTGTCTGCTTCTTCAGATGAAATTTTATTAGAAGTTGTCGACTGGGATCTCCTACACTATTTACCTACTTAGTTAATAGTAGACAGGTCTAAGATGGTTTTGAAAAAAAAAAAGGTTTTGCTTTATTTCATTCTTTCCTCTCCATTGTTGTAGGTTACAAGGCAAATGCAAGAACATGAGCAGGACTCTGAGCTTAGAGAACAAATGTCTGGTTATAAGAGAATGAGGCGGCAACATCAAAAACAGCTGATGACTCTGGAAAATAAGCTAAAGGCTGAGATGGATGAGCATCGTCTCAGATTAGACAAAGATCTTGAAACTCAGCGTAACAACTTTGCGGCAGAAATGGAGAAACTTATCAAGAAACATCAGGCTGCTATGGAAAAAGAGGTAACTGATTATTATTACTAATGTATTTATTCTAACTTGTGACTATTTCAAAATTAACCAAGATAGCATTTTGATGTTAGGGTGTCTGTTCCCTAGAACCAAGCAAATCAATTGGGGAAAGGGAGAAATATTTATATAATAAATAAAATATCAAGTGCTGAGTCTGGGAACCAGTAGGTATGGGATTATGTCCTGATAAATTGATGGTTTTATAGTGTAACAGTGGTTAAGTCAGGTAGATCAGATTGAAGATGGTGACGTGAGAGGTGAAAGAGATACCAATACCACATATAATGCAAAAATATAGTCAATACAACTAACTCTAAAAGATCAACAGGAAAGAAGCGTGCAACAGACTGCTTACACCTGGAGAAAAGAACAGACATCAAAAAGGGTAACATACCAAAGCTGGGATCCAACGGGTCCCAAGCCCTTCCCCCATCCCAGCTCACTGGCAGGAGGAAGAGAAACAGAGCAGGGAGGGGGTGCAGGCTTACAGCTGCTGAACACCCAGCCCTGGAGATCTGCTCTGAGAGCAGGAACCTACATTGCATGATGCTGTGCAGATTAGTTGGGTTGGAAAGCTTAGACAAGAGGAATACTTTGAGAGACTGAGATTCCAGCTGCTGGTGGAAAACAGGGATCCACGTCCGGCTGCTCTGGGACAAAAGAAAGGCAGGCAGTCTGAGAGACTTCCTAACAGTGAGAGGGCTACTAAAGTGGCAAGGATTGCACAGGGCTTGCTGCTCAGGAAAAAGGACAGGTAGACAAAATTGTTCAGGTGCACTCTGCCCAGCAGGTTGGGAACTTTTCAGGAACTTCAGATGCTCCATCCCCCTGGCTGGCTACACAGCTCTGAGGCCTTCCACCATGATATGCAGCCTGCTGCACCTTCCAACCGGCTGGCAATGGTTTGCAAACCAGCTGCCCCTGCCCTGGAGTCAGTCCAGCCAGTGGGAAGCCCTGCTACAGTAGCTACAAATGCAAAGCATAGAGGGTTACACCTGTGTGTTTGGTCCACTGGTCTGGCTGTGGAGAGAGGCACAGTAGCCAGGGAGCAGGAAACAGCTCTTCCCAACCCCCAGTCACCACTCCCATGCGACCCCGACATTGCTCCACGGGCTAAGCAGCTCCAGAGAGTAGACCTTATGGGTACTAGAGGGTGCCACACACAAATATGAAACATCAAAGAAACTCGGTTCAAACCCAAATCCCAAAAACACCAGAAAAAGGATTAAGTGGAAATGAACTCATCAACCTTTCTGAAAGAGATTTCCAAAAAAAAAGTCATAAACATGCTCATGGAGGAACAGAAAAAATTCATGAACTCACGAGCAAATTCAGGACAGAGATCCATTCGTTATGGAATACAATATGGGGATTTAAAAGCAGATTAAATACGGTGGAGAAGATGATAAATGAAAAAGGAATTAGAGAAGAGGAATACAAAGAAGCTGAGGCACAGAGAAAAAAGTGATCGCTAGGAATGAAACAATACTGAGAGAACTGTGTGACCAATCCAAACGGAACAATATTTGTGTTATAGGGGTACCAGAAGAAGAAGAGAGAGAAAAAGGGAAAGTGTCTTTGAGGAGGTAATTGCTGAAAATTTCCCCAGTCTAAAGGAGATAGTCTCTCAGGCCATGGAGGTGCACAGATCTCCCAACAAAAGGGACCCAAGGAAGACAACACCAAAACATATAATAATTAAATTGGCAAAGATCAAGGATAAGGACAGACTATTAAAAGCAGCCAGAGAAAGTAAAAAGGTCATATACAAAGGAAAACCCATCAGGCTATCATCAGACTTCACAGCTGAAACCTTACAGGCCAGAAGGGAGTGGCATGATATATTTAATACAATGAAGCAAAAGGGCCTTGAACAAAGAATACTCTACCTGGCAAGATTATCATTTAAATTTGGACGTTTCAAACAGTTTCGAGATAAGCAAAAGCTGGGAGAATTTACCTCCCACAAACCATCTACAGTGTATTTTGGAGAGACTGCTCTGGATGGAAGTATTCCTAAGGCTAAACAGCTGTCACCAGAGGAAATAAAACCACAGTAAAGAAAATAGAACAATTAATTATGAAGCAGATACAAAATCAAATCAACTACCCCCAACGTCAAGCAAGGGATAGACAAAGAGTACAGAATATGATATCTAATATATAAAGAATGGAGGAGGAAGAAAAAGGAGAAAAGAGAAAAAAAAGAACCTTTATGTTGTGTTTATAATAGCATACTAAGTGAGTTAAATTAGACTGTTAGATAAGTAAGGGAATTACCCTTGAACCCTTGGTAACCACGAATCTAAAGCCTGCAGTGGCAATAAGTACATGCCTATCAATAGTCACCCTAAATGCAAATGGTCTGAATGCACCAATCAAAAGACATGGAGTCACTGAATGGATAAAAAAACAAGACCCATCTATATGATGCCTACAGGAGACTCACTTCAAACCCAGAAATAAATACACATACACAGACTGAAAGTAAAGGGATGGGAAATGATATTTCATACATCTAATGGGAAGAAAAAGCAGGAGTTGCAGTACTTGTATCAGAGAAAATAGACTTCAAAAGAAAGAAAGTCACAAGAGACAAAGAAGGACATTATAAGCAGGTCAGTCCAACAAGAGGTTATAACCATTATAAATATTTATGCACCCAACACAGGAGCACCAATGTATGTGAAACAAACAGTAACAGAATTAAAGGAGTTAATAGAATGCAATGCATTCATTTTAGGAGACTTCAACAAACACACCACTCACTCCAAAGGACAGATCAACCAGACAGAAAATAAGTAAGGAGACAGAGGCACTGAACAACACATTAGAACAGATGGACCTAACATATATCTACAGAACTCTCCACCCAAAAGCCGCAGGGTACACATTCTTCTCAAATGCACATGAACATTTTCAAGAATAGATCATATACTAGGCCACAAAAAAGAGCCTCAGTAAATTCAAAAATATTGAAATTGTACCAACCAGCTTCTCAGACCACAAAGCTATGAAACTAGAAATAAATTACTCAAAGAAAGTGAAAAAGCCCACAAACACATGGAGGCTTAACAACATGCCCCTAAATAATCAATGGATCAATGACAAATAAGAAGAGATCAACCAATACATGGAGACAAATGACAACAGTAATTCAACACTGCAAAATCTGTGGGTCACAGCGAAGGCCATGCAGAGGGAAGTATACTGCAATATGAGCCTACCTCAGGAAAGAAGAACAATCCCAAATGAACAGTCTAAACTCACAATTAACGAAACTAGAAAGAGAAAAACAAATGAGGCCCAAAGTCAGTAGAAGGAGGGACATAATAAAGATGAGAGCAGGAGTAAATAAAATCAAGAAGAATAAAACAATATAATCAATGAAGGCGGAGCTGGTATGTTTAGAAAATAAACAAAATAGATAAGCCCATAGCCAGACTTATTAAGAAAAAAATAGTCTACACACAAACAGAATCAGAAATGAAAATGAAAGAATCACTATGGACACCATAGAAATACAAAGAATTATCAGAGAATACTATGGAAAATTTTATGCTAACAAACTGGATAACCCAGAAGAAATGAACAACTTTATAGAAAAATAAAACTTTCCAAGGCTGACCCAGAATGAAACAGAAAATCTGAACAGACCAATTACCTGCAGCAAAGTTGAATTGGTAATCAAAAAACTACGTAAGAATAAAACCCCTGGACCAGATGGCTTCACTGCTGAATTTTATCAAACATTTAGTGAAGATCTAATACCCATCCTCCTTAAATTTTTCCAAAATGTAGGAGAGTAGGAATACTTCCACCCTCATTCTATGAGGCTAGCATCACTCTAATACAAAAACTAGGCAAATACACTACAAAAAAAGAAAATTACAGACCAATATCCCTGATGAACACAGATGCAAAAATACTCAACAAAATATTAGCAAACCAAATAAAAAAATACATTTAAAAAATGGTCCATCATAATCAAGTAAAGTTTATTCCAGGGCTGTAGGGGTGGTACGACATTTGGAAATGCATCAACATCATCCACCACATCAACAAAAAGAAGGACAAAAACCATAAGATCATCTCCATAGATGCTGAAAAAGCAATTCGACAAAATTCAACCTCCATTCATGGTAAAAACTCTCAACAAAATGAGTACAGAAGGCAAGTACCTCAACATAATAAAGGCTATATATGACAAACCCACAGCCAACATCACACTTAACAGCAAGAAGCTGAAAGCTTTTCCTTTAAAACCAGGAACAAGACAAGGATGCTCACTCTTTCCACTTTTATTTAACATAGATCTGGAGGTCCTAGCCATGGCAGTCATACAACACAAAGAAATAAAAAGCATCCAGATGGGTAAAGAAGAAGTTAAACTGCCACTGTTTGTAGATGACATGATATTATACATAAAAAATCCTAAAGAATTCACTCAGAACTACTAGATCTAATATCTGAATTCAGCGAAGTTGCAGGATAGAGAAGTAATACACAGAAATCTGCTGCATTCCTATATGCTAATGATGAACTAGCAGAAAGAGAAATCAGGAAAACAATTTCATTCACAATTACATGAAAAAGAATAAAATACCCAGGGTTAAACCTAACGAAGGAAGTGAAAGACTTATATCCTGAAAACTATAAGACAGCCAAGAGAAAGAAGATACCAATAAATGGAAATAACATTTCATGTTCATGGATAGGAAGAATTAATATTGTCCAAATGGCCATCCTGCCTAAAGCAATCTACAGATTCAATGCAATCCCTATCAAAATGCCAACAGTATTCTTCAACAAACTGGAACAAAGAGTTCTAAAATTCATATGGAACCACAAAAGACCCCAGAATAGCCAAAGTAATCATGAGGAAGAATAAAGTGGGGGGGATTATGCTCCCCGACTTCAAGCTCTACTACAAAGCCACAGTAATCAAGACAATTTGGTTCTGGCACAAGAACAGACCCATAGACAAATGTAACAGACTAGAGAGCCCAGATATAATCCCAAACATATGGTCAATTAATATACGATAAAGGAGCCATGGACATAGAATGGGGAAACACCATTGTCTTCAACAACTGGTGTTGGCAAAACTGGACAGGCACATGCAAGAGAATGTAACTGGATCATTGTCTAACCCTACACACAAAAGTAAACTCAAAATGGATCAAAGACCTGAATGTAAGTCATGAAACCATAAAACTCTTAGAAGACAACATATGCAAAAATCTCTTGAATATAAACATGAGTAACTTTTTCCTGAACACATCTCCTTGGGCAAGGGAAACAAAAGCAAAAATGAACACATGGGACTACATCAAGTTTCTGTACAGCAAAGGACACCATCAGCAGAAGAAAAAGGCATCCTGCAGTATGGGAGAATATATTTGTAAGTGACATAACTGATGAGGGCTTAACATCCAAAATATATAAAGAGCTCACATGCCTCAACAACCAAAAAGGAAATAACCTGATTAAAAATGGGCATAGGATCTGAGCAGACACTTCTCCGAAGAAGAAATTCAGATGGCCAACAGGCACATGAAAAGATGCTCCACTTCACTAATTATCAGGGAAATGCAGATTAAAACCACAATGAGATATCACATCACACCAGATAGGATGGCCAACATCGAAAAGAGTAGGAACAACAAATGCTGGGGATGATGCATAGAAAGCAGAACTCTCCTACACTGCTGGTGAGAATGTAAATTAGTTTAATCATTGTGGATAGCAATATGGAGGTTCCTCAAAAACCTGAAAGTAGAAATACCATCTGATCCATGAATTCCACTCCTAGGAACTTACCTGAAGAAAACAGGTTCTCAGATTCAAAAAGTCATATGCACCCCTCCGTTTATTCCAGCACTATTTACAATAGCCAAGAAATGGAAGCAACCTAAGTGTCCATCAGTAGGTGAATGGATAAAGAAGATGTGGTACATATACACAATGGAATACTATTCAGCCATAAGGAAGAAACAAATCCTGCCATTTGCAACAACATGAATGGAGCTTGAGGGTATTATGCTCTGTGAAATAAGTCAGGGAGAGAAAGACAAATACCAAATGGTTTCCCTCATTTGTGGAGTATAACAACGAAGCAAAACTGAAGGAACAAAATACCAGCAGACTCACAAACTCCAAGAAGAGACTAGTACTTACTAAAGGAGAGGGCTCTGGGAGGGTGGTTGTGGAGGAAGGGAGAAGAGGATTGAGGGCTGTTATGATTAGTACACATGGTGTGGGGGATCACGGGGAAGACAGTGTAGCACAGAAAAGACATGTAGTGACCATGGCATCTTACTACACTGATGGACAGTAACTGCAATGGGCTATGGGGTGGGTACTTGATGATATGGATGAATGTAGTAACCACATTGTTTTTTATGTGAAACCATCATAAGAGTGTATATCAATGACGCCTTAATAAAAAAAAAAGGTTGTTAAGTATTCTTCCATTCTAGGCCTTCCGTACTTTGGTTATCTGAGTTTAATAAATCAGTAGGTGATTTAGGTTTTAAAAAAATCATACATCATTCTGTGTGTACTTTTTGGAAACCTTAAATTTATAGTAGCATTTTTACATCAGAATAATTGAAGAGTACTGTAATATACAGAGAATGTTAAATTAAGAGGGATTTTTCTTGTTTGTGTTTTTCTGTATTTCCTAAATGTTCTGCAATGAATATGTACAGTTCACCCTTGAATAACATGGGTTTGAACTGCACAGGCCCATTTATACACATATTGTTTTTCAGTAAAGTCTTGGAAAATGTTTTGGGATACAGTTTGAAAATAATTTTCTTTTTCTAGCTTTCTTTATTGTAAGAATACAGTATATAATTTATACAACATACAGAATATGTGTGAATATCTGTTCCTGTTGCTAGTAAGGCTTCCAGTCAGCAGCATGCTATTAGTAGTTAAGTTTTTGGAGAGTGAAAAGTTATATGGGAATTATAGGGGTGTCAGCACCCCTAATCCCCACATTGTTTAAGGGTCAACTATTGCATATATCATTAGAAATAAAATAATATTATGCATGTATTTAATATTTTCATATTATTTAAGATAAAAATTTAAAGTCAAGGTTTAATTTGAAGATGAATGTGTCACACTGTTTAATATACAAGTCAAGCTAGATAAAAGGTCATAACTTAATTATATTTGTTTTGTTTTATTATGGGTTTTGGGCAGTGTGTTCCAGTTAAATGGGGGAAAAAAGGTGAAAACACTGACCATGTAAGAAATCAGCATTTTAAAGATGAGTTCCATTTTACTGGTTCTCTGAAATTCAAATAATAAGGATACTGAGTAATACTTATTATTAATTTATTGGATATTCTTGTTTTGGTAATGATTATACTGATTTTATATTCTTAGGTGGGAGGAAGTATCCTTGCTAATGTGTATTAAACTGCGGCTTTGAAGCTTATCTGCTTAGCTAATTTGATCCATTTAAAAAATTTCCTATAGGCCAAACTGATGTCCAATGAGGAGAAAAAATTTCAGCAACATATTCAGGCCCAACAGAAGAAAGAACTAAATAGCTTTTTGGAGTCCCAGAAGAGAGAATATAAACTTCGAAAGGAACAGCTTAAGGAGGTATTTACTTTATAAAAATTTTCAAGCCACTTACCTGCTTACTGATTATATCCAATATTGATCTACTCATAGAACCATTCAGATAAATTTTTCTTTTGCATGTGGCCACTAACTATATATCAATATAAATGAGGACAGTGATTATAATGTATTAACTTTTCAATGGCTGAGATCCTCAGTTGAGTGGGATCTAAAAATAGTAATCTCTTGAAAATGTAAATTATTTTATAAAGCTATCATTTATAATAGCTTTCCTAAGCACTTATTAAGTAACTGAGTCACTAGAAATAAAAATATTTTAGCTGTGAAAAAGAGCCATACATTTCTTCCTTTAGAAGTAAATCATATCTTCTTAGTTTGGGCTCAGATTACAATAATTTGTTCTTATTCTGATTGTAACACAGTATAAGGGTGAGAGGTATTTCTGCTCATCACATTTTCTTTAATAGGAAAGCATGCTAATTATGTCTTTATGGCTACATGATTTCATGTGTTTGCCCTTTATGTGCTGCTTTCTTGAACTTCTTTTTTTTTAAATTTATTATTTTATTTTATTTTTGTATCATTAATCTACAATTACATGAAAAACATTATATTTACTATATATAAATATATAGTGCCCCCTTCACCAAGTCCCCCCCACATACCCCTTTGCAGTCACTGTCCATCAGCGGAGCAAGACACTGTAAAATCACCACCTGTCCTCGCTGTGCTGCACAGCCCTCCCTGTGCTCCCCCCACACTATACATGCTAATCGTAATGCCCCCTTTCTTTTTTCCTGCCCTCTCCCACCCATCCTCCCCAGTCCCTTTCCCTTTGGTAACTGTTAGTCCATTCTTGGGTTCTGTGATTCTGCTGCTGTTTTGTTCCTTCAGGTTTCCTTTGTTCTTATACTCCACATATGAGTGAAATCATTTGGTACTTGTCTTTCTCACCTGGCTTATCTCACTGAGCATAATACCCTCTAGCTCCATCCATGTTGTTGCGAATTGTAGGATT